ACCTATTCGTTAGACCTTGGTGTTTCCTAGAGTTGGCCTGGCATTCACGTGTAGGCTGTGTTATTCTCCTGTTGAACGTAAGCAGTTTCACAGAACAGGAACATTAGACAAGGCCACTCTGTGTCCTTGGATCAAGACAAAAACAAGACCACTCTGGAATCATGTCTGAGCACAGACAAAAACAGGAATGTTGTTAAACTCACAAAAATGATCAAGCATATCTTCATCTTGGCCACCGTGAGTGACTGCCACTTCTTTATATAAATCACAGCCTTAGCCTCTCTTCATTCATCTTGCCTCATAGTAAGATTTATTAAAATTGTAGCATCATAGAATTAGATAGAATTCATAGAACCATAGAATTATCCCCACAATAGCATCAGAACCAGGGTAAAGCCCCCATTTCTTTAAACCTTTCCCAAAAGTACCTAACACAAGCCAAATCCTGTAAGTTCATTCTCACACCCTCTTAGTGAAATGCCCCAGGGTTCCCAATAATGTACATTTTCCCTAGCTGCAAGGAGTAATAAATCTAACTTGTTCGTTTAGAGGTATGTTCTTGGTGCTGTTGACTGGAAAGAATTCACACCCGAAAACTTTGGCCTCTCTTTGTTTTAACTCTGAATGAATTTTTGCTACAATTAAGAATCAGCATCAAGCTTTTCTAGCTAGTTTCTTACTGGTCAAGGGCAACTTTTAGTTCCATATAGCCAGTTTTTGATCATTGACATTCAAATTTTAAAAAAGTTGTAAGCTCTGATATCTGGGTGTTCTACCTTAAAAAAAAAAAAAAAAAATCCCAAAGGCAGCTTAATAAATCAGAGAGAGAGAGACTTTATTTCCAATGATTTATCAGCTTAATTAGAATGCTTGAATTTAATTTTTCCTCCCACAGCTTTTAATAAAGAAAATATTGTTGGGTCATTGGGAGTGAGGGGCTGGCTTATATATAGTATAGATACATACACACAAATAATATAGCATATAATATGTAATACTGTACAAGAAATCTTACGAAAAATATGTTTTGCATTTTCTATTGTAAATCAGCTATAATTTTTACTCTGTTCACAGGAAAATAAACATTGACCCTGTGAATGGAAACCTAAACCAGTGATAAAGAATTTCCTATTTATGATTTCTCAGTGTTGCTGCTTTTGAGCAAGGTGTAGGTGCTACTAAAGGACTAGCAACTGTAGAATAGCCACTAGGGTGTTGACTACAATTAGGATGACTGTTGAATCTTGCTACCTTTTTTTTTTTTTAATTAAAACTAGGTGGCTTTGTTAAATCTATTAAGGCTAATAGTTATGGATTAAAATTCATCTGCTTCTCTTTTGTTTATGCTACAAATCCTACTTTTTTGTTGTTGTTATTCTGAAATATCTTAGGAACAAAGAAGTGAGCATGTTCTTTCATCTACTTGTTCTGATGATAGGATTCAGTGTAATTGAACCTTTTACTGCATAAGCCTTAATTTTTGATTGTGCTTGCTCCACTCTGAAAAATATTTTATTTTTAAAAATTTTTTTAAAGATTTTATTATTTGAGAGAGAGAATGAGAGAGAGAGAGAGAGAGCACATGAGAGGGGGTAGGGTCAGAGGGAGAAGCAGGCTCCCCGTTGAGCAGGGAGCCTGATGCGGGACTCGGTCCCTGGACCCCAGGATCATGACCTGAGCCTAAGGCAGTCGCTTAACCAACTGAGCCACCCAGGCGCCCTGAAAAATACTTTAATTCCTCTCCACTTGTCCAAGTTTAGTGAAATGGAAATGCATAAAGATGTGTTTTATTCTCTTTAGAAGTTGATGTACTCATTGCTTAAGCATTTTAGTCTAGCTTAATAGGGAGGTGGGATGAATCACTGATGATACTTAGGATTGAAGCTTCCAAATTAATATGTATTAGTTTTAGCTACTGAATGAGATTTTTTAGGGTGTCATTAAATATTAGTGAGTTTTCCATTAAAATTTCTCAACAAGTAGTTAATGGCATTTAAAGATAATATCAGGTGATGTTGTGGGTTGAAACATAGTATGATTTTTTTGTGCATTTTCTGGATTTTTGTTGAGGTTATATATGTTCACAAAATTATTAATATTAACTCACAGGCACTGGAATTAAATTTTGTTTAAAGGATAAACATATTGGACTATAATCATAAGTACCAGTGTATACTTAATTTCTTATTTAGACAAGAGAAGGAATAATGGACATTAGCTGTCATTTTAACCTGTTTGGCCAGTGGATTTTTCCCAAGACTGAATAACTTAGATTGTTGTCCAGAAAATTTGCTTTACAGGTAGGGGCGCTTGGAAGTTTGTTTCCAGATAATATGTTGATAGGTAAGCTAGCACATCATTTTAGATTCTCATCGGGAGAATTGAGTTAAATTGAATTGTTACATATGAACTGAGAAATAATAGAAAAACAGAACACAGAAACATGGAATAGTGTAATGGTATTAGGCTTGGTTTCTTGTGATAAACCTTAAAACCAGATAGAAGTCGATTTCTTTCTCATGGTGTCAGATCTGAAGGTAGCTCCAGGCAGGGCAGCTCCACAGTGATCAGGAATCCAAGCTCCTGTCTTGTTGCTCTGTCATTTTAACCTCCCACGTCACAGTCCTTCCTGGAAAGGGACAAGGAGAAAGAAGGAAAGGCAATCTCTCTCTCTTTTTTTTTTTTTAAGAGATTTTATTTATTTGAGAGAGAGAGACAGATAGTGACAGAGATAGCGTGAGAGAGCACAAGCGGGGAGGAGAGGGAGAAGCAGGCTCCTGCTGACTGAGCAGGGAGCCTGACGTGGGGCTCCATCCCAGGACCCTGGGATCATGACCTGAGCCGAAGGCAGATGCTTAACCAACTAAGCCACCCAGGTGCCCCCAAAAGGCTATCTCTTAAAGAGATTTCTAGGAAGCTACAATATAACTTTTGTTTTTATGTTTTTGGCAAGAATGTAATCCATGTCCACATGTAACTGCAAGGCAAGCTGGGAATGTAGTATTTTTTTTCTCTGGGTTGCCTTGTCCACAGTTAGAAATTGGGCATTATTTTACTAAGGAAGAAGGTGAAAACAGACACTGGGCTAGCAACTGGCAGCTTGTTACATATAAATAAAGCAGTGTCCTGAATGTTAGGGATCCTCTAATTGACTGCCTCTGGCCTGTTAACCTTTACTGGGCCCCAGGCTCTTTGATGATGCTGGTAAAAGTTACAGACTTGTTCCCTAGAAAAAGGTACCTGTGGACACATGCATGGAATTTTGTAGGACTGTTGTCTCTGGAACCCATCCATTAAGCCGAATAGGTTGTTTATGGACCACTGTTAAGATTTTTTATTGATGAAAGATGACTATTTTCTTTTTTTTTAAGATTTTATTTATTTGCGAGAGAGACAATGAGAGAGAGAGAGAGACAGAGAGCATGAGAGGGAGGAGGGTCAGAGGGAGAAGCAGACTCCCTGCCGAGCAGGGAGCCCGATGCGGGACTCGATCCCGGGACTCCAGGATCATGACCTGAGCCGAAGGCAGTCGCTTAACCAACTGAGCCACCCAGGCGCCCCAAGACTGTTCTTTTTGAAAGTTTTTCTAAATTTCCACCATCCACTCTTATAGTTAGGTATGACTTAATTAGCATGCTCTGTATGCTAGACACTGTAATGACACTTGAACATTCAAAGGCATCATGATTAATTTATTAAGTGTTAACTATGTGCCTGTCGTGGAACTGGGAGTCTTAAGTACATTGTTCATTTTCTCCATTTTACAAATGAAGAAATTACCTAACATTTCATAGCTGGTGAATGATAGAGCTAGGATTTACACCAGGTCTAACTCTAAAACCATTTCTTTTAGTTTTCATGAAGTAGGTACTTCACCATAAGCATGAGACACATTGAGCTGAGAGTTTTTAGTGGTTCAGTTTCGAATTCTTGTTCTGGGTTATATAACTAGGAATCTCTTTGTGCCTCAGTTTTCTGTTGACATTTTGCAAAGCCGCTTAAAATGTTTATGGGATGATGCTCCTCTTTTGATTTTGCATTTTTGAAGCGTGGATTGCAGTTGGTGTGCTACATGGCATGAGACAAATGCCGACCAGGAATCTGATCTAAGAGGAGTACAAAATGATCGTATTTTAAAATGTCTAAAATGTTTAAAATGTCAGGGGGCGCCTGGGTGGCTCAGTCACTTAAGCATCTGCCTTCGGCTCAGGTCATGATCCCAGGGTCCTGGGATCGAGCCCCGCATCGGGCTCCCTGCTCGGCAGGAAGCCTGCTTCTCCCTCTCCCACTCCCCCTGCTTGTGTTCCTGCTCTCGCTGTCTCTGTCTCTGTCAAATAAATAAATAAATAAAATCTTTAAAAAAAAAAAAAAAAGCCTTATCAGCATTCAAATTGTATATAGCGTTAAAAAAATTCTCTGAAAACCACCTTTCGATCACCTTGTAAATCAGAGCTCGCTGGTGCTTTGCGCACGGTCTTTTTTCTCACACGCATGCGGTCACGTACGCTGACAGCGGCACATGTGGAGTTTGGCTTCAAAGCTTTTTGGCTTCAAGCTGAGGTTTTTGACCCCACTGATATACAGATGTTCTCATAATTTCCTCTCTTCAGCTCCTTTATAAATCAACAAGAGTGGGAAAGGGAAAATTATATGAGTAATTACAGTATTAAATTACTATGGAAAACCATTTGAGTTCTTTAGAATTCTCTTTTTAGCTTGAGTTTCAAATCACCAGCTTCTTAAATGTTAATGTTTCTTACACAGACAGGCCTTCGAGTAGGGCTGCACCACTGATTTATCAGTTCACACCTCTGTCTCTTGTATCAGAAACACTATTGTCTTTTTTGGGGGAGAGTACGCTGATTCCGATAGTGCAGACTTGACTTTAGAGGACTGTGTAGTAAGGCAGTGATAGGCCTGCTGCTGCTGTCTGAGCTGTGAACGTAAACTCCCATAAACCTTCCTTCCTTCCTTAAGTCTTGGTTCTTCTTTGATTCTAGGACGATTTGATGAAACTGTTATTGAAGAGAGAAGACAGTGTGCTGAAGATTTGCTACAGTTCTCTGCCAATATCCCTGTTCTTTATAACAGTAAACAACTTGAAGATTTTTTCAAGGTTTGATAGTCTTTCTGAAATATTTTGTACTTCATTAAATATTTTTGTTTTCTAATTTGTAGTAAAGCGGGATTCAAGTTGTTTTATTTTTTAACAGAAAATGTCATTTACTATTGAATTTCATTATTCACTAAAATAAGTAGAAGTTGGTTGCTAAACAACAATGTCTTTGACATATCTTCTGTTTTTAGTGTAGAAATGTATAAGATTTTTGATTCGTAGTTTTTAAAAAGTTGATGCAAAAGGCTTAGGATTATCTTGTTCACTCCATCATAATTGAAGTACATTAGAAAAAATTTAAGTATCATGAAATTTTAGTTGTTGCCTTCACTTTTTGAGGTGTCTTTCAGTGGTAGACTTTTGGGGATAGAAACCATTCTAAGTTCATATTCACTTCGTTACAATTGTACTAATTTGTGTAAGAGATAGAGCAAAAATAATCACGATATAATTTTAGAGAGGTAGGCTAGTACAAATTATGTGACCAGAATCATTGGATATTAATGTTTTCTGTTCCTTTTTTTTTTTTTTTTTAAGATTTTTATTTATTTATTTGAAAGAGAGAGACACAGCGGGAGAGGGAACACAAGCAGGGGGACTGGGAGAGGGAGAAGCAGGCTTCCCGCAGAGCAGGGAGCCCGATGCGGGGCTTGATCCCAGGACCCTGGGATCATGACCTGAGCTGAAGGCAGATGCTTAACAACTGAGCCACCGAGGCGCCCCATGTTTTCTGTTTCTTGACATGAAATGTTTTCATTCTGAGCTCTTTATAATTTTATTTTATTTTTAAGATTTATTTATTTATTTAAAGAGAGAGTGCCTGCAGGGGTTGGGGGGAGCAGAGGGAGAGAGAGAGGGAGAATCCCAAGCCGACTCCACACCCAGCATGGAGCTTGACGCAGGGCTCCATCTCATGACCCTGAGATCATGACCTAGGCTGAAATCAAGAATCGGACACTTAACCAACTGAGCCACCCAGGTGCTTTATTGTTTTAAATAATAATTTTCTAATTTATTTTGTATTGAGCTTGTGCAGGTTGTTAGTTGGTATCAGTGTCTTTATTGACCACAATTTTCCTATTGCCTTTAGACTTCTAGAAAAAAGCTAGGCGATTGGGCCATACTTCCTTTCTTTAAACATCTACTCATTTGTATAAATGTAGTTGTTAGAACATATGAAGTATATGAATAGTATATGAGTATTGCGATTTTTAATTTTCCTGATGCCAGTGGATCTACAAAAGGAAATTATTTTTTATGACCTATTTTAACTTACTGAAGAAAGTTGATCTTTTGAAAGATAGTATAAATTTATGACTTTACACTAATAGAAATGCAAATAGTAATAGAAAAGTTTGTAGTACCAGTGAGATTTCTAATAATTGACTTCATCGCTTAATTTTTCATTACTATGTAAACCAGGCTGAGATGATGAATGTGGCTCTGCTATGGCATACTGCAGATCTTTAGGATAAAAGGTCAAATCAAGTTGATACAGTATTTGTTCTTTGTTATTCTTGGTTTACAGCTCTATCTTTGTGGCAAGCGGTCTATGCTTATAGAAAAAAGGCAGCATTAGGGGTGCCTGGGTGTCTCAGTTGGTTAAGCATCTGACTTGATTTCAGCTCAGATCATGATCTCTTGAGTCATGAGATCGAGCTCCCCATTGAGCACAGAGCTCAATGGAGAATCTGCTTGAGATGCTCTCTCTCCCTCTGCCCCTCCCCCTACTCTCTCTCACACACGTACGTGCTCTCCCTCAAATAAATAAATCTTAAAAAAGGCAGCATTATTAAGCAAGAAGGATGTGGCTTTATAGAAATTGTGAAAGGCAGTCATGCAAGTTAACACATGCCAAGGTCTTAAAAAAAAAAATCAGTCTAGAAATATAGAAATCAGATCTTAGACTTTGAACAATTTATTTACTTATTTTTATCGATTTGTTTCTTTATTTGAGAGAGGGGTAGCGCATGTGTACAGGGTGGGTGGGAGGGGCAGAGGGAGAGGGAGAGACAGCCCTAAGCAGACAGTGCACTGGAATGTGGAGCCTGACATGGGGCTCGATCTGACGACCCTGAGATCACTACCTGAGCTGAAACCAAGAATCCGATGCTTAACTGAGTGTGCCACCCAGGCGTCCCCAACTTTGAACAATTTAAATATAAGTTACCTGTTCATTCTTCTTTTGGACCTGGGAATTCCTGATTGTAACTGCTGCTGAATGACACTTTTTAGGCTTTGTGAAATGAGAGAAGAGAAGAAAGCAGGCATTGGGCACTTTAAGGGAAGTCAGGCTAATCTTAGAAAATATATTAGAAATACCTTAAGTAGTGTGCTGGGCCGGAGAGAGACACTGACTTGGTAATATCACAGCAGTGGTAGTCAGCCTCTAAATAAAGATAAGTAAATAGGATCCTTGAGGGTTATTTAGCTGCAAGCAAGAAACAAAAAAGCTTACCATATTAGCTTAAGTAAGAAAGGGGTTTGTCTCATACAACAAGAAGCTGAGTGAGGAAGATAGAACAGGGTTGGTACAGAGCTCAGTGATGTCATCAAAGCCTTAGGTCCCTGGTTTGGGGTGTGAAAGGAAAAGGACTGATAAATGAATGAGTGAATGCATGCCATTTTGAAAAGCTTTCCTAGAAATTCTACCCAGAGGTAGTCCTTCTTACATCTTACAGACCAGAACTGGGTCACAGGACTGTCCTTAGCTCCAGAGAAGTCTGGGTAGGTGACTCTTTTAGCTTTCTAGTTCTCACTGTGGATGAAAGTATGGAGGTGAGGTTTTTGGGTAGCCGGGTCAGAGGGTGTGCTACAATAACAGAGGTTTTGGTTTTTTTGTTTGTGTGTTTGTTTGTTTTGGGGGGGAACACTGATGATGATACCACATGCAAATGACTACCTTGCCAGTTGATTTGATTTTTTTTAACATACACAAGAGTAGAAGGAATACTATAATGAGCCTCCATTACTCATTACTCCTCTTAAAAAATTATCAGTATATTGCCAAATTTTTTTCATCTGTGCATTTCCATGCCATCTTCTTTGCTGGTTATGTATGTATATATGTATGTATTTTATCGTGTATCAATATTTTATTCCTTTATGTTGCTGAATAGTATTCTCTTACATAGATTATACTGCATGTTGTTTATCCATTGACAAAATGATGGACATTTGGATTGTTTTCAGTTTTTTGACCCTTTGTCCAGTACTGTTGCCAACAAATTTTTGTGTACAAATCTATGTGTAGATATATGTTTTCATTTCTTTTGGGTAGATTCTGAGGAGTGGAATTGCTGGGTGTTATGGTAAGTTTATGTTTTTAAGAAACTGTTCTTTAAAGTGACTCTACTGTTTTACATTACCCAGTAATGTATGAAGGGTCTGTTTCTTACACAATTTCACCAGTTGTGTAAGAATTCAATTTATAGCTGTTCTAGTATGTGTTTAGTGATATCTCACTATAGTATTAATTAATTTCCATTTCCTAATGGCTAATGATGTTGAGCTTGTTTTCATGTGCGTATTCATATACTTTGGTGAAATGTTTGTTAAAATCTGTCCAGTTCTGGTTGGGTTGTCTTATTATTGAGTTGTAAGAGTTCTGAATATATTCTGGATACAAGTCCTTTATCACATATGTTTTGCAAATATTTTTCTCCCAATCTGTGGCTTGTCCATGTTCTTAATGGTGTCATTGGAAGTACAAAAGTTGTTTTTTTTTTTTTTTAAGATTTTATTTATTTATCTGACAGAGAGAGAGATAGCGAGAGCAGGAACACAAGCAGGGAGAGTGGGAGTGGGAGAAGCAGGCTTCCCGCCAAGCAGGGAGCCCGATGCGGGGCTCGATCCCAGGACCCTGGGATCATGACCTGAGCCGAAGGCAGAGGCTTAACCGACTGAGCCACCCAGGTGCCCCAAAAGTTTTTAGTTTTGATGAAGTCTAATTTAGCAATTTTTTTCTTGTTTTGAATCATACTTTTTTTTTTTTGTCGTATCCAAGAACTCCTAGATTAACCCAAAGTCTCCGGTGTTCTTTTCTACAAGTTTTGGTCTTAACATTTAGGTCTATGATCCATAGTTAATTTTTGTATACAGTGTGAGTTAACAACCTAAATTCATCTTTTGGCACATAAATATCCAATAGTCCCAGCACTATTTGTTGAAAAGGCCATCTTTTCCACCATTGAATTACTTTGGCATTGTTGTTCAAAAATGAATTGAATGTAAATGTAATGGTTTATTTCTTGACTTTTGTTGTGTTCTATTGATCTGTGTGCCTGTTGTTATAACAAAACTTTATTTTCTTGATTATTTTAGCTTTATAATAAGTTTTGAAATGAGATAGTGTAAGTTGTCCCATTTAGTCATCCTTTTTCAGAATTGTTATGGCAATTTTGAGTCCTTTGAATTTCCATAAAAATTTTTAGCATCAGCTTGTCCATATAAACGAAAAATTCTGATGGAATTTTGATTGGAAATTATTAAATCTGTAGTTCAATTTGGGGAAAATTGTTTCTTAACAATATTGTCTTCCAATCCATGAACATGAAATGGCTCTCCATTTATTTAATTAGTCTCAGCAGTGTTTTGCAATTTTCAGTGTATAAGTGTGGCACTTCTTTTGTTAAAATTATTCTATGCATTTTATTCTTTTGATGCCTTTGTGAACAGAATTGTGTTCTTTCTCTTAGCATTATGTTTTAAAGGTTTAATCCATGTTGTAGCATATAGCAATACTTCATTCTTTTTTGTGGCTATATAGTATTCCTTTGTATGGATCCGTGGATATACTGCGTTTTGTTTATCCATTCATCAGTTGAGCACATTTGGGTTGTCTCTCCCTTTTGGCTATTACTAATGATGCTGTTATAAATATTGGCATATAAGTTTTTCGTGTGGACATATCTTTTCATTTCTCTTAGGTATATATCTAGTATTAGAATTGGTCTGGGAGGATTTCAAATCTTAATTTAATTTATTTACTTGTTACAGGT